ATGTCATGCCACCAAGATGATTTGGTAAAAAAATTGGCCAGTTTGACAAAGGTTTGGACACACACCCATCACAAACCGGAGCAACTCACTAGAAGGCTTGCGGTTCCCAGAGGGAACAATACGTGTTTGATGACGAACGGGAGATATCTTCCTCTTATGGCCTTCAATTTTTTCCTATGTTTAGCGTGCACTACTACAACTGTAATTGAAAATTTGGAAAATTCTAGGGGTCATTTGACATTTTAAAGACATTTAAGTGATTTTCTAGCCATTTAATTCAAATTTGAACTACATCTACATGCAATGCCTAACCATAACGGTTTAACAAATCATATTTGTGTAGTTGTGTGCGAGTTAATTCCATGTTCAGTAAGTTAGAAGGAATTTACGAACATATTGACAGGGACACATGCATATGTATGCATGGAGTGACATGGCATTTTAATTCCAAAAAATTTAAAAAATATCAGAATCACATGAAACCTTGGTTGATGTAATGTCATGGCACCAAGATGATGTTGTAAAAAAATTGGCATGTTTGACGAAAGTTTGGACACCCCACCCCTCACAAACCGGAGCAACCCACTAGAAGGCTCGTGGTTCCGAGAGGGAACAATGCATGTTTGATGACGAACAGGAGATAGCTTCCTCTTACGGCCTTCAATTTTTCTCTACGTCTAACGTGCACTACTACAACTGTACTGTGATTTTTTTGTATATTCTAGGGGTCATTTGACATTTTAAAAAATTTAATTGATTTTCTAGCCATTTAATGATCGTAATTCAAATTTGAACTACATCTACATGCAACGCCTAACAAAAATAGTTTGAAAAATCATATATATGTACTTGTGTGCATGTTAATTCCATGTGCAGTAAATTAGAAGGAATTTTCAAACCTATTGGTCTCACGACATGGACACATGCATACGTATGCATGGATTGACATGGCATTTTAGTTCCAAAAATTAAAAAAATGATCAATAAAACATGAAACCTTGGTTGATTTAATGTCATGCCACCAAGATGATGTGGTAAAGGAATTGGCCTGTTTGAAGAAAGTTTGGACACACACCCCTCACAAACCAGAGCAACTCACTAAGGTTCGTGGTTCCAAGAGGGAACAATGCATGTTTGATGATGAACGGGAGATAGCTTCCTCTTACGGCCTTCAACTTTTTTTCTACGTCTAACGTGCACTAATACAACTGTCATGTGAAATTTATGAAAATTTCAGGGGTCATTTGACCATTTAAAGAGATATAAGTGGTTTTCTAACCATTTAATGACCGCACTTCAAATTTGAACTACATCTACATGCAACGCCTAACCATAACGGTTTGAAATATCATATTTTTGTGTACTTGTGTGCGAGTTAATTCTGTGTGCCGTAAATTACAAGGAATTTTCAAACATATTGGTCTCAAGGCATGGGCACACATGCATGGTGTAGCATGTCATTTTAATTCAAAAAATAAAAAATGATCAGAAAAGCATGAAACCTTGCTTGATTTAATGTCAGGCCACCAAGATGATGTGGTAAAAAAATTGGCCTGTTTGACGAAAGTTTGGACACACACCCCTCACAAACCGGAGCAACTCACTACAAGGTTCGTGGTTCCGAGAGGGAATAATGCATGTTTGATGACGAAGGGGAGATAGCTTCCTCTTATGGCCTTCAATGTTTTTTCTACGTTTAACGTGCACTAATACAACTGTCTTCTGAAAATTTGGAAAATTTCAGAGGTCATTTGACCTTTTAAAGACATTTAAGTGATTTTCTAACCATTTAATGACTGTAATTCAAATTTGAACTACATCTACATGCAACGCCTAACCATAACGGGTTGAAAAATCATATTTTTGTGTACTCGTGTGCGAGTTAAAAAATCATCAGACGATGTAAATATCTGGTGTTCAAAAAAGAAAATGTAAAGATCTGGCAAGACAACCGCCCCCCACACGACTAGCAGTCTATCTCGCGGCTCGAGGTTTGGTAGGTGAATGGTAGCGATCATTAATCAGATACGGTTCTGCATTGGAAACTGTCGGCTATTATGTTCACACACAAATTTTGGCTATTATATATGTTCACACATGGATTTTTCTGCGGGGATCGTGTGTAATTCAAACTATAGTACTCATAAATTCTGGCGACTGATGTTTGTACTGTCCCCGTCGATCTATATTCCGGCCGCCAATAAATACTACCTTCCTCAGGTCATCCCGCATGCATTCTCATCTACATCCTCCTCGACCTCTCTCTCTCTTTCTCTCTCTCTCTCTCTCTCTCTCTCTTAAATCTCTGCCATGGTGCTGCCGGTCTGCCCAAGCGCCGACGAGGAGTCGCCGCACCCCGAGGATGCTCACTCGTTTAGCAGCGACGAGGACCCCTACGCGCCGCCTGACGAGGTTGCGCCGGACCCCCCGACTTTGGATCGGTTTTGGGGCTAGTACAATCTTTGTCTATGGAAGTTGCTGCCGCCGGCTGAGAAAGCCAGGCAAGTGGCATTCAAGAAGGAGATGGCGGAGGAGGAAGCCAGGTACCAGGCGGCCTGTAAAGCCCATGATGCCTCCTGGAAAAAGGAGGCGGTGGAGCATTGGGACCGAACGCGTCGTCGTGCCGAGGAGGTGTACAAAGATGGGTACTTTGCGAGGAAGGTCATAGGCGATGGGTGCCTCGTCGCTGCGTGGAGGTGGGCTGATAAGCTCCAGCATGCCACCGACGAGGAGCTCCGGTGGGTGCCCAATGAAATGGCAAGATCAGCCGTGCGTGTCCGTCAGCAAGAGGAAGATCAGTACGTCAAGCGCTACGAGGCGTAGGAGGCGGAGTACTGCCTCCGCACTGGGAAGACACCGCGCACCAGGGAACTACTGGAGAGGGTCTGCCGGAATACTGGCCCCAGGAAGGATTATTAGTTTTAGTATTGTTTGTTTTCAATTTTAGGTATTGTACCTAGTATTAAGGATCATCACGTATATGTGATGATATTATGTGATGAGCTAATGAACATTTAATATATATATATATATATTATGAATCTATCTTTTATTGTATACTAATTTGAATCTAGCTGTTATCATCCACATATAAAGAATGGAAAGCGTATATACACACATTGAAACAGAACATATAAGAATGGAAAACAGAGTACACACATTGAAACAGATCAATAAACAGAACAATTCTATTATTGCTGTGAATACATATCTATCCACGTCGAAACGACTTTTCAAAATAAAACACGTCCACGAGACCATGACCAGCAGCCCTTGCCTACGTTAGCTCTTGGCTCTGCCTGAACGTGTGCAGGCGTTCGTCCAAGCGGTCGACACACTCGCGGTACATCTGGAGCGCGATCTCGAGCTCCAAGTTGGCTATTTCATCTGAGATCACACTAGTAGAAAACAGGGCTTTGGTCCAGGCTGGGTCAGCCCATTAGTCCTGTTTCAGTCCAACTGTTTTTGCTCTCCCAACCACATCCTAGTCTTAGTTCTACTGCCACTACCTACATGTGGCAAGATCAGTAGCACACACAGTAACATCTAGTTATTCCCAGATCTTGCCATGGAAATTTCCGCCCTACACATGAGTGGTTCATGGGAAGGGTAGGAGATGGGGGGGGGAGGGGGAGAGGGGGATGAAGGGGACAAGGGATTCATCTGGCCGGCGGCTCAATTTGGGCTACATGTCGCCCGATCTTGCTATGGAAATTTCATGGATATCAATGTCCGGTGACGGAGAGGGGGGTGAAGGGGACCAGAGGGGGTGGAGGAGGAATTCACCTAGTCAGCGGCTCAATTTAGCCTACAGATCGCCAGATCTTGCCATGGCAACTTCAGGGAGAGCCACGCCGGCGACGGAGAGAGGAAGGAACTGTGAGGGGATCGGGAGGGATGGAGGAGGGTGATGACTTCAGGTGGCAGCGCGCCGTGGTTAGGGTCGCACGCTGACCAGGTGGCACGCTGATTAGGTCGTTTGGGGGATAAGCGATCCTATCTGAATGGTTTTGTTTGGCTCGATGCACTACCAGTCCAAATGGGTCATTCGGCGCGGACACCCTAAATCGCAAACGAACGCTCATTATCGGCGTCCTAGTCATAATATTTGCACCAAAATTTCCAAGCCTACTTGTCATAGCATGACGCACATCCATAAAAAAAGAAACCAACTTCCTTCACAAACTTTTGATATGAAAAAATGTGAATATTTCCATGAGGAGAACTGAATGCATGGGTCATGATTCCAAACAGCTACCCTGCTGCCTATATCTAATCTCAGGTGTCCTGTTCTTGCATGCCCTGAGCTTTCAAGATTTGCATCTGCCTTGTTCTTGCAAGGACATTAATTTACCTGGTGATCTATCTCCCTTGTAAAGGTGAAGCCATCCAGCTCTCCACCAGTTGTGTCAATGTCACGATCGACTCCCCACCCAGGAGTAGCGCCTCCTGCCCAGCCGCATGGCCGCCAAGGTCCGCTCTCGGAGCACTCTACCGCCCTTAGACTCCATCATCCACCTCACCTTGGACTCCACTTCGTCGGTCTAGACCACCTCCTTGTCGTACCCTTCCACCGCCACGGCCAGACCCAGCTCTTTCTCCTGGAACACTCTATTAACTCGTTGCTCTGCGTAGAGCGGCCAGGCCAGCGTGGGCACGCCGGCCATGAGCGTCTCTAGCATGGATTTCCACCCGCAGTGCGTCTCGAAGGCACCCACCGCGTCGTGTGCCAGCACGTTACGCTACAGCGCCCACGACTTGACGACGAGACTCGTGCCCTTGGTCCGCTCCAAGAAGCCCTCTGGGAGGAGAGCGTCGAGGTCCGGGTCCGGCAGCTTGTCCAGCTTCTTCGCCGGGCCGTCGATGTCCCTGGGCGGGCTCCGCACAACCCACAAGAACCTTTTGCCACTCGCTTCCAGGCCTATGGCCAGCTCTCTGGTCTGATTTGCGCTGAAACGGCTGCGCCTGCCGAAGCAGAGGAACACCACGCTGGTGTTGGGCTATGTGTCTAGCCATGCTAGGCACTCTTGGCCGTGCTTCACGCCCACCTCCTTCGACTTGATCAGCGGCCCGATGAAGTAGACATGAGGTGTCGGGAGGCCGGGAGGTGTGCAGAGCCCGACACTGATGGCGTCGACGGCGCACGACTCAAGCGAGCGAAAGGTGTTGACGATAATGCTCTGGGAGCGGCAGAGGTAGGGGGACACCCTCAGGAAAGCTCTGTACGCCGCATCGTCATGATCCATGAGCGGCTTGAAGCATTGCGTTGCCGGGAATGAGGGGATTCCCGGCACATGCATGAGCTCCTCACCCATGTCTCGAAAGCTGGCGGCGCTCCACGCGTGCAGCACCGGAAGGTACAAGAAAATGGCAAGAGTCTCGGCACAACATGTGAAGAAGTAGTAGGCGGGGATGCCGAGCTCCGTGGCGACATCCACGGCGACACTGCAGAAGAAGTCCACCACCAGGATGGCCAGGGAGGCGCCGGCCAGGAAGTCACGGAGCTGCGAACTGGAGGCGCGGGCGGCCTTGAAGGTCACCACCTCGGGGTGGACGGAGTCTACGGGCATGAGCTCGACCCGCGGGAGGCAGTGGAAGGAGATGGAGGGGTTGACCGCGGTGACGTCGGCCAGGAAAGGCCCGGTAGCGCCCGTGTCGTACGATGGCTTGGTGATGACGATGGTGACGGCGAGGCCGTGAGCGGCCAAGATTTTGTCGAGCTCGGCCATGGAGACGAGGTGGCCCAGGCCGGGCGCTAGGTATAGTACCACCCGCTTCCGGGTGGTTGCGGCAGCTTCCATCGATCACGTACGACGATGATAGGCTTGTTCAGTCCCGGCCGGAGCAGTGTGGTGTCGGCTTTAGTTTGGTGTGTGGCGCGGATGGAGATGGCGAACGAGAGCCCCAACAATTTATAGATAAGCAAGAGCAACGCAACACAACCTATGAAGTATCGATGGCCACTTGTTTCCCACTATCCCTAGGCTAGCCAGTACACCGGTCGGGCCACACCACGATGGGCAAGCTCACCAGCAAAGAAAGCGATGACACCATCTTTGGTAACAGAGAGCCTGATAATGACCAGTGTACTTGTACTAGGCATGCTATCGCCACTCCTTCGGTCAATATTTTTTTCCACGAATACGCAAAGCTTACGTATCATTTCAGTGACAGAAGAAAAGCAGAAAAGTACATAGGCGTGGACATGGGACCCGGAGCAAAATGACACAGGACGCTCAGCCCGAACAGAAGAAAAGACCACAGCTAAACCACCAAGCCAGACCCAAGTAGAGGGGCAAGCTGAACCGACCAAACATCAAACATCTCTAGATCCAACACCGGGGATGCCGCGAGCAAGCAAGATGGCGCCTTCAAAAAGGTGAGCGATGTCGTGATGCCGCCGCCATCCGATCCAAAGAACCGGACCAAGGGTTTCCCCCGTTGCTCGAAGAGGGGCATGGATAAAGGTCATGACAGCGCCTCCAGGGAGGAAAACGACACCAGCAGGTGCCACCGCTGCTAGCATCGGCGAGCCGAGCAGGGATTTCGCCCTGGCCTAATTCCGAGCGACCCCATTGCTGCAAATCAGGGTCCGAAGATGAGGAAGTCGCTTGAGAGGGTGGGTGGAGTTGCACCTTCGGTCAATACTTAGGGTTAGTTCTTTTGGCAGCTTAGAAAATAAGTCATTGCTATAATCCAGGGTATAGGTACATGAGCAGCGTGACCAACAAGTTTTGCCATGCTGTAAGACCAGTGGTGTAGACAGGGGGACCAACAGGGGTCCTGGCCCCCCTAGTGTCACTGGTTTAAGACTAATACTAGTGTAAACACATAATTTTTTGCTGTTAAAACAGAGTATTTTAATAGACTGGCCCTCCTCAACTAGGTTTAGCAACGTTTGGCCCTCCTCATTGGATTTTCCTGGCTCCATCACTGTGTAAGACGTAGACCTCGCCAAGCTGCAAGATAGAAGCTTGGCTTGCCCTGGCATCTAACTTGTACTAGCACATTCCTGTGGTAAGGACCCGTTAACCAAGCCGGCGACTGGTTGTGATCACCAGCTCAAGGATGTGACAGCCATGTTCCTCTACTGCGCCCAGGTGGACACCTGGGGTCCTCCTGGACCAAGGAGGTAGTCGTGTTGGAAATATGCCCTAGAGGCAATAATAAATTGATTATTATTATACTTCCTTGTTCATGATAATCGTTTATTATCCATGCTAGAATTGTATTGATAGGAAACTCAGATACATGTGTGGATACATAGACAACACCATGTCCCTAGTAAGCCTCTAGTTGACTAGCTCGTTGATCAATAGATGGTTACGGTTTCCTAACCATGGACATTGGATGTCGTTGATAACGGGATCACATCATTAGGAGAATGATGTGATGGACAAGACCCAATCCTAAGCCTAGCACAAAGATCATGTAGTTCATATGCTAAAGCTTTTCTAATGTGAAGTATCATTTCCTTAGACCATGAGATTTTGCAACTCTCGGATACCGTAGGAGTGCTTTGGGTGTGCCAAACATCACAACGTAACTGGGTGGCTATAAAGGTGCACTACGGGTATCTCCGAAAGTGTCTGTTGGGTTGGCACGAATCAAGACTGGGATTTGTCACTCCGTGTGACGGAGAGGTATCTCTGGGCCCACTCGGTAGGACATCATCATAATGTGCACAATGTGATCAAGGAGTTGATCACGGGATGATTTGTTACGGAACGAGTAAAGAGACTTGCCGGTAACGAGATTGAACAAGGTATCGGGATACCAATGATCGAATCTCGGGCAAGTATCGTACCGATGGACAAACGGAATTGTATATGGGATTGATTAAGTCCTTGACATCGTGGTTCATCTGATGAGATCATCGTGCAGCATGTGGGAGCCAACATGGGTGTCCAGATCCCGCTGTTGGTTATTAACCGGAGAACGTCTCGGTCATGTCTGCATGGTTCCCGAACCCGTAGGGTCTACACACTTAAGGTTCGATGACGCTAGGGTTATAAAGGAAGTTTGTATGTGGTTACCGAATGTTGTTTGGAGTCCCGGATGAGATCCCGGACGTCACGAGGAGTTCTGGAATGGTCCGGAGGTAAAGATTTATATATGGGAAGTCCTGTTTTGGTCACCGGAAATGTTTTGGGGTTTATCGGTAACGTACCGGGACCACCGGGAGGGTCCCGGGGGTCCACCAAGTGGGGCCACAAGCCCCGGAGGGCTGCATGGGCCAACTGTTGGAGGGAACCAGCCCCAGGTGGGCTGGTGCGCCCCCCCACAAGGGCCCAAGGCGCAAGGGAGAGGAGAAGGGGGCAAACCCTAGGGCAGATGGGCCCTAAGGTCCACCCTGGTGCGCCTCCCCCTCTCCCCTCCCCTTGGCCGCCCCTAGATGGGATCTAGGGGGCTGCCGCCACCCCTAGGGAGGGAACCCTAGGTGGGGCGCAGCCCCTCCCCTTCCCCTATATATAGTTGAGGTTTGGGCTGCCCAAGACACACGAGTTCCTCTCTATCTTGGCGCAGCCCTACCCCTCTCTTTCTCCTCATATCTCGCGGTGCTTGGCGAAGCCCTGCTGGATCACCACGCTCCTCCACCACCACCACGCCGTTGTGCTGCTGCTGGATGGAGTCTTCCTCAACCTCTCCTTCTCCCCTTGCTGGATCAAGGCGTAGGAGACGTTGTCGGGTTGTACGTGTGTTGAACGCGGAGGTGCCGTCCGTTCGGCACTAGGATCTCCGGTGATTTGGATCACGACGAGTACGACTCCTTCAACCCCGTTCTCTTGAACGCTTCCGCTTAGCGATCTACAAGGGTATGTAGATGCACTCTCCTTCCCTCGTTGCTGGTTTCTCCATAGATAGATCTTGGTGACACGTAGGAAATTTTTGAATTTCTGCTACGTTCCCCATCAGTGGCATCATGAGATAGGTCTATTGCGTAGATTCTATGCACGAGTAGAACACAAAGTTGTTGTGGGTGTTGATATTGTCAATTATCTTGCCATTACTAGTCTTATCTTGATTCGGCGGCATCGTGGGATGAAGCGGCCCGGACCAACCTTATACGTATGCTTACGTGAGACCGGTTCCACCGACTAACATGCACTAGTTGCATAAGGTGGCTGGCGGGTGTCTGTCTCTCCCACTTTAGTCGGATCGGATTCGATGAAAATGGTCCTTATGAAGGGTAAATAGCAATTGGCATATCACGTTGTGGTTTTTGCGTAGGTGAGAAACGTTCTTGCTAGAAACCCATAGCAGCCACGTAAAACATGCAAACAACAATTAGAGGACGTCTAACTTGTTTTTGCAGGGTATGCTATGTGATGTGATATGGCCAAGAAGAATGTGATAAATGATATGTGATGTATGAGATTGATCATGTTCTTGTAATAGGAATCACGACTTGCATGTCGAGGAGTATGACAACCGGCAGGAGCCATAGGAGTTGTCTTAATTTCTTTATGACCTGCGTGTCAACATAAACGTCATGTAATTACTTTACTTTATTGCTAACCGTTAGCTGTAGTAGTAGAAGTAATAGTTGGCGAGCAACTTCATGGAGACACAATGATGGAGATCATGGTGTCATGCCGGTGCCAAGATGATCATGGAGCCCCAAGATGGAGATCAAAAGGAGCTATATGATATTGGCCATATCATGTCACTATTATTTGATTGCATGTGATGTTTATCATGTTTATACATCTTATTTTCTTAGAACGACGGTAGTAAATAAGATGATCCCTCATTAAAATTTCAAGAAAGTGTTCCCACTAACTGTGCACCGTTGCGAAAGTTTGTCGTTTCGAAGCACCACATGATGATCGGGTGTGATAGATTCTTACGTTCGAATACAATGGGTGTTGACGAGCCTAGCATGTACAGACATGGCCTCGGAACACATGCAAAACACTTAGGTTGACTTGACGAGCCTAGCATGTACAGAAATGGCCTCGGAACACAAGAGACCGAAAGGTCGAGCATGAGTCGTATGGTAGATACGATCAACATGAAGATGTTCACCGATGTTGACTAGTCCGTCTCACGTGATGATCGGACACGGCCTAGTTGACTCAGATCATGTAATCACTTGGATGACTAGAGGGATGTCTATCTGAGTGGGAGTTCATAAGATGAACTTAATTATCCTGAACATAGTCAAAAGGTCTTCGCAAATTATGCCGTAGCTCACGCTTCAGTTCTACTGTTTAGTTATGTTCCTAGAGAAAATTTAGTTGAAAGTTGATAGTAGTAATTATGCGGACTAGGTCCGTAAACTGAGGATTGTCCTCATTGCTTCATAGAAGGCTTATGTCCTTAATGCACCGCTCAGTGTGCTGAACCTCGAACGTCGTCTGTGGATGTTGCGAACATCTGACATACACATTTTGATAACTAGGTGATAGTTCAGTTAAACGGTTTAGAGTTGAGGCACCGAAGACGGTTTTGAAACGTCGCGAAACATATGAGATGTTTCGAGGGCTGAAATTGGGATTTCAGGCTCATGCCAACGTCAAGAGGTATAAGACCTCCGACGATTTTCTTAGCTTGCAAAGTAAGGGAGAAAAGCTCAATTGTTGAGCTTGTGCTCAGATTGTCTGAGTACAACAATCATTTGAATCAAGTGGGAGTTGATCTTCCAGATGAGATAGTGATGTTTCTCCGAAGTCATTACCACCAAGCTGCTAGAGCTTTGTGATGAACTATAATATATGAGGGACATATATGATGATCCTTGAGATATTCGCGATGTTTGACACCACAAAAGTAGAAATCAAGAAGGAGCGTCAATTGT